TAAAAATGAGAGGTGCAAGAACATCGCCCTGGAGAATTCCGAGGTTGGTAAGGAATTCTAAGGTTATACCTTCAGGGGTCATGATTTTAGCCTTGGTGTTGATGTAGAGTGACATAATGGCTTTTATGATTTTTTTAGGAAAGCCGTAGGAAGCCAGGATGTCGGGAAGATGCGATCTGAAGATGCAGTCAAAGGCCTTTGAGAAGTCAATAAAGGAGATGACACAAGGAAGCTGGAAGTTCACAACCTCTTCGATGATACGTCTAAGAGCCAAAATCTGTTCACGAGTCCCTCTTCCAGGCCGGAAACCATTCTGGTTGTATCGGAGGCGAGGTTCTATGTGGCTCCTGATTCGGTTTAGAAGCAGCCTGTTGTAGATTTTCGTGCCAACAGGGAGGATGGAGATGCCTCTGCTATTTTCTGGACAGAACTTTTTAGCTCCTTTGGGTATAGGAAGAATGGCAGTGACAAGAAGCTCTTCCGGGGCTTTACCAGTAGCTAGCATGTTGTTGAACAGAGATAGTAAAGTAGTGTCCAAGTCAACACACTTGTACAGCAGAGAAGGAATTCCGTCATGACCGTACGTGTCCTTTGTCTGCTTGAGAGCTGTAGATAGTTCATCTGCTGAGAACGGTGACGTTTCAATTGGGAGTTCTGGCTTTTGGACTTCAAAGCTACCCATTCTGATGTTGTCAGCAGGATTGTAAAGCAGTTTGCTGTAGTGGTCAGTCCACGCCTTTGCTCGATCTGCCTTGTTTCTATATCCAGGTAATGGAGACATAGATTTAGGCTTACGATTGGTAAGGTCATTTATAAGCTTCCATGCAATACCAGAGCTGTTTGATTTCGTCTGCCATGCTGCATACCCTGAGTGGTTTGCGGGTTGCGGAATAAACAGCTGATCTACTTGATCAATTGTCTTATTAACAAACGCTTCTTGTATGCTGGTTTCGACCTTCCTGACTTCAAGGGTGGCATCACGGAGGGCTTTAGTAGCAGCTCGTGTCTTTCTTTTGTGACTATCTTTCAACGCAGCATCTCGTGCCTTGACAGCAGTCCGGTACTCAGGATTAGATGAAATCTGAGCAGTTAGACTAGTCTTCTTCCTTTTGGGAAGTACTTTCTCTGCTGTGTCATTAATAGCACTTATCATGTTGGTGTATGCATGCTGGTTGTGTTGGACGAGGTCATCAGTCTCGTTCTCTTCATCCATTAAGGCAGTGAACCTGTTCTGGAGCTGGAGTTGGAAGGCTGTTGAAGTTGCAGTGTTACTTTTTAACTCCTCCCAGTCATACTTGATTACCTTAGGTCGGACGATGTTGGTCCTTATTGACAGCTTGATAGTCGCTGTGACAATCCGATGGTCAGATTGAACCGAGGGATTAATGTATGACTCACAGTTTTTAAGTGAATTCTGCCATTTTGAGCGAATGAGGATGTGGTCATTCTGATGCAGTTGACCATTTGGTGCTGTCCAAGTCACCTTTTTAGAATGCTTTTTGTTAAACTTTAGCGCACCGATGGTGAACGCGTTTTCTTGGGCAAAATCAAGAAGATGCTGTCCGTTTCGGTTTGTACATTCATAAAATGCGTTGGTGTTGCAGGTGTCTTTTCCAAGGTGAGCATTCAGGTCGCCAGCTATAGCTACTACGTCATGAGGTGGAAAAGATCGGACACAAGAAGTTAACTCTGCATAGAACTGTTCAACTTCAAGGTCTGTAGACACATTAGTAGGTGAATGACAAGTAATTAAGTGTGTGCAAACTTCACCGGTAAAAGAAACAGACATTATCCTGTCTGAAAAGACGTTATGGTCGATGTAGCAGCGTTGGGCCCAAGGGGAAAGGAGGAAGCCAAGTCCGAGGAGTGTTCTACTTTTAGGGGGAGGAGATGCTAGGAGGAACTTGTAGCCAATATGGTCTCACCCTCTCCGGAAGAAAAGAACTGTGGACTTTCTTCATTTTACTGCTACTTTTACTGTATCTACTGTTTGATACCAAATTAAGACCAGATCTGCTCATACTGAACAAACCAGCTCCGTAATTGGCCAAACCACTTATCATTTTAAAAGATTCAATGAGGTCCCCACGTATTCGCCGCTCTGCCAGCGTTGTCAAATTGAGGATTTCCAGTCGACGACTGTATGGAAGAGTACCCACCTCGTCAATCAGACGGGTAAATCAAAAAGGACCGGACAGGACAGGACAGGACATAGGCGGACATAGGTGGACATAGGCGGACATAGGCGGACATAGGCGGACATTGGCGGTCAAAAGTGGACATTAGCGGACAAAAATGGACAACTAAATGAGCTAAATTTTGATAAATTTTGCTAAATTTTGCTAAATTTTGATAAATTTTGTTAAATTTTGTAATGAGGCAGGGTGATACTTTTCCAAAAAAGTCATATTTTATGTAGTTCACCCTTTAAAGTATAGATCCTGTTTTAAAGGTATTTTCAGGTGCGAAGTGAGGTATCAAGGACTGTTGTACTTGGACACAAGATCTAGAAATACATTGTCATACGTTGTATGATCCGCCGCGCACGAAGTGCGCGGCTCCCCCTGTATCGTCGACCGTGGGGGTCACCACGTGATACAAGAAATACATGCGCTACATCGGAATCACGTGATGTACAAACACATGGAGCGGTTCTGCGCTTGACAGGGCTGTTCATGTTGGCAAGCAGCCACTGTCTGGACTCTGGAACAGTGATAATCACCATCTATAGCTGAGTCACTGTCTAGAGTCCAGTATGTAGTCATATGACCTGGATAAGTTGATATCCCGTATCAGTTGGTTGAGCCAGAGAGGTGTGTCGAATGAACAAGCACAATGCTAGTAGAAGAGGGAATAATTTGCGAAGTTCAGGATAGGATTGGGGTATAGGGCCAAAAAGGGCCAACTTTTTTATTTAGGTTTCTAAAAGTTTAGGGATTTTAAAAACTCGGACCGAAGATTTTGTTAGTCAAATATTTTTTCGAAGTCCGCACCTACTCTTCGATATACGATTTTGGACTCAAGGGTTCCCCTTTGTAAGGGATCGTTCATGTATTACGTAATCAGCCGAGGCGGAGGGGGTTTCTTAATTCTTATGGTTGATTCCGGTTTGACAATATTTTAATTCAAAATTCCACACAATTTCACTCTGATAGAAAATTGTCAGTCTGAGCCTTTCGATACGTACCTTTCGTATCGCCTTTCCCCCTGGTAATGCGATCTTGGAAGGCAGGCCTCCCCTTTGCATCACAAGCTCGGAATCGGGAGCTCTACCTTCAGAGGTACGTATCGAGAATGGTTCGAATTTTCTAAGTCAACATTTTCTAAGTCAACATTTTTCAAATTTTTTCTAGAAACTACTTTTGTTCATGTTTCATGCTACCCTGATCATTTTGAGCCGAAAATATTGCCTCCAATTCATGTGCGAAAAATTCTCATAATTTTTGTCCGTTAATGTCCGCCAATGTCCTACCGTCTGAGTCCACAAAAACATGTCCGCTTGTCTCATAGAATCCTAAAAAGGACAGGACAGGACAGCACAGGACATAGGCGGACATAGGTGGACATTAGCGGACATTGGCGGTCAAAAGTGGACATTAGCGGACAAAAATGGAAAACTAAATGAGCTAAATTTTGTTAAATTTTGCTAAATTTTGTTAAATTTTGTTAAATTTTGTAATGAGGCAGGGTGATACTTTTCCAAAAAAGTCATATTTTATGTAGTTCACCCTTTAGAGTATTGATCCTGTTTTAAAGGTATTTTCAGGTGCAAAGTGAGGTATCAAGGACTGTTGTACTTGGACACAAGATCTAGAAATACATGCGCTACATCGGAATCACGTGATGTACAAACACATGGAGCGGTTCTGCGCTTGACAGGGCTGTTCATGTTGGCAAGCAGCCACTGTCTGGACTCTGGAACAGTGATAATCACCGTCTATAGCTGAGTCACTGTCTAGAGTCCAGTATGTAGTCACATGACCTTGATAAGTTGATATCCCGTATCAGTTGGTTGAACCAGAGAGGTGTGTCGAATGAACAAGCACAATGCTAGTAGAAGAGGGAATAATTTGCGAAGTTCAGGATTAAGTCAGGGGTGTAGGGGCTAAAAAGGGCCAACTTTTTTATTTAGGTTTCTAAAAGTTTAGGGATTTAAAAAACTCGGACCGAAGATTTTGTTAGTCAAATATTTTTTCGAAGTCCGCACCTACTCTTCGATATACGATTTTGGACTCAAGGGTTCCCCTTTGTAAGGGATCGTTCATGTATTACGTAATCAGCCGAGGCGGAGGGGGTTTCTTAATTCTTATGGTTGATTCCGGTTTGACAATATTTTAATTCAAAATTCCACACAATTTCACTCTGATAGAAAATTGTCAGTCTGAGCCTTTCGATACGTACCTTTCGTATCGAGAGCTCCCGATTCCGAGCTCGTGTTGCAAAGGGGAGGCCTGCCTTTCCCCCTGGTAATGCGATCTTGGAAGACAGGCCTCCCCTTTGCATCACGAGCTCGGAATCGGGAGCTCTGCCTTCAGAGGTACGTATCGAGAATGGTTCGAACTGAACATTTTCTAAGTCAACATTTTTCAAATTTTTTCTAGAAACTACTTTTGTTCATGTTTCATGCTACCCTGATCATTTTGAGCCGAAAATATTGCCTCCAATTCATGTGCGAAAAATTCTCATAATTTTTGTCCGTTAATGTCCGCCAATGTCCGTCTGAGTCCACAAAAACATGTCCGCTTGTCTCATAGAATTCTAAAAAGGACAGGACAGGACAGGACAGGACACCCCCCCCCCCCCCCCCCAAGTAAGTTGGTGGCCTTATTTTTGGGATACTCTGTATATTTTTCATAAAATGCTTATTTTATCCATATTTTAAGATTTTCAATGCTTCATGATCAATAAAAATTCAGAAAGTAGTTGAACTATGGAGAGATTTTTGTATCCATCTCATTATTGTTAATCATTTTAGGATTATAATTTATCTATACCATCAGCTATGTTTTGACCAAAAGACCATACCAGAAGAAGAAAAAGAAGACCCAAAGACTGTTTATGACTCGAAAATCACCGGTTCATTTAACTGTTGAGAAAGATCAATCTGTCCACCTACATATGTCCCCTGGAAAATCAAAGGTTTATTTAATTTACAGACTTACTTTTATAAACATTAATTTGTAAACCATTCCTCATGGGCTTTAAATCTACTATTGCCTGCAGGTAAATATTATAGTAAAACCATAAAATATCCTGTGCCCGTGTCTACTGTGCCATGCTATCACACATGTGTGTAATGTGTATAGACCTAATCCACAGCATGAGCAATAAGGATACAGTATTTGAAAATGCATCTTGGGTAGCAATTAAACATTCAAATAGTGGTAACTTTTTATTGTGCCCCAAAAAGAACAAATTACGTTTTAAAAGCTGCACCATCTAAACCTCATATTTACACTAGATAAGAACATCAAGTCCTAAGAGAGCAGCCAACAAGAGGTCCTCCTCGCCGGCTAAAGAAAAGCCTTGGATACCAGCGCCATGTAAAACGAGTAAGAACAAGTACACATGGGCGGTGAGTACCTACTGTCTGTATGAGTTGTTGCTTTTGTTAACGTCCTGGCAAGGGCTGTATTTTTGTAAATTTTGTAACAATACAATTCCTTTTGTATATATTTGTATATATGCTATATTATTTGGAATGTTAAGGTTGGGAATCCGGATGTATGACCAATTATTTCTATAACTGTATCCTCCAACAATGTGTCAAGGTACTTCAACCATTTATAAGTATATCAAAATTTGGACCACTGAGTGTACAATATGTTTTAATTTTATATACTATTAAAACCATTTATTAAATATGATTTGCAACATTATATGATTTATTTATGTTCGAATTGCTGATAACATCCATGATCCAATACAAACTTGACAAAAGTGAAGAAAGATTGTGAGGTGTTACTGATATTTGTCGAGAACGGGTTCTAACAATATTTTCAGCTTAACAGGTAAGTGCACAAAACTCAAAAGATTAAATTAACGAAACATGTGTAACGAAAAATCAACTTGTTAAATTCAACATAAATTCAACAATCACACCCACAACCCATCAGTCATTCTCATCTCCACACCTTTAGGGGAGCAAGGCAAAGTTGGATATAACGTCACCATTGATTGCACCAAATGAGTCCCATGCTAGTAGTATCATAATACAAGTTGATTCTGACGCTGGTCTTGAAGTAAGTTGTGTTCCCTAAATATTTAAATCCTACATAGCTCTGCTGAAATGTTTTGGTCTTAGCTTGTCTTTCCTCTACCTTCTTCAAAATCATACCGAGTGTAATACATTTCAAGTTTGACAATGATTTTTAAATTCATGTAACATGTATGATTTCCTTTGCTACACTTCGCATTATATGCTGTTAGACTAAATTTTATTTTGCCTTAAAAATGACCGAAAATTTGTGGTCACTAGCCAGGTCTAAATTTGTATGTTTCTTAAATAAGAGATGATCAAGTAGAATCGATCAATTTGATCATCACACCTCTTTTTATGAAGGCACTTCTTCTCCAGCTAGATCTTAATTTTTATTTTAGATGGAACTTAGTCTCAACTCTCATTCCTGGCCCTGTTTCATCTGCACTTCATTCTCTTCATTTCATCTGAATCCGCTTTAAACATGATGATTTACTGAACTTTAGAGAAAAATTTTAGAAAAACTTGTTTAGGAGCCTACTTTACTGGACAAAACAGATAACTACAGAGACAGGGTACATGATCTCACTGCAGCTGAAGTAGACCTCTTTAAAACAAAGGTTTGTTATTTTACTTGGTTACAGCTTAATCATGTTAAACTCGTCCACCCCCTGTCCCTCCCTACAGATAACTGCCTTACCGTTGCAGAGGCACATATTAGGTGCGATGGGTGCGGGATCGCACAATTTACCGTTTTCCGCACATTTCCGCATAATTTATTGTTTTCCGCACATTCCCGCACATTTTGTAATTTTTTGAATATTTCCGCATAATCTAGAATTTTCCGCGTAATTTCGCATAATTTTGAAATTTTCGCGTTAAGATTTTCGAGTGTAAAAACCAAAATATTTTAAAAGTCGGGCTCTTTTAGGACCGTGACTCAGGCCCTTTCGGGACCGTGACCCAGGCCCTTTCGGGACCCTGACCCAGGCCCTTTCGGGACCCTGACCCAGGCCCTTTCGGGACCGTGACCCAGGCCCTTTTGGAACTCATACCTAGGCCACGTGACCCAGTTACCACGTGATCCAGGCCCTTTCGGGACCCTGACCCAGGTCCTTTCGGGACCCTGACCCATGCCCTTTTGGGACCCTGACTCAGGCCCTTTCGGGACCGTGACCCAGGCCCTTTCGGGACCCTGACCCAGGCCCTTTCGGGACCCTGACCCAGGCCCTTTCGGGACCGTGACCCAGGCCCTTTTGGAACTCATACCTAGGCCACGTGACCCAGTTACCACGTGACCCAGGCCCTTTCGGGACCCTGACCCAGGCCCTTTTGGAACTCATACCTAGGCCACGTGACCCAGTTACCACGTGACCCAGGCCCTTTCGGGACCCTGACCCAGGCCCTTTCGGGACCCTGACCCATGCCCTTTTGGGACCCTGACTCAGGCCCTTTCGGGACCGTGACCCAGGCCCTTTCGGGACCCTGACCCAGGCCCTTTCGGGACCCTGACCCAGGCCCTTTCGGGACCGTGACCCAGGCCCTTTTGGAACTCATACCTAGGCCACGTGACCCAGTTACCACGTGACCCAGGCCCTTTCGGGACCCTGACCCAGGCCCTTTTGGAACTCATACCTAGGCCACGTGACCCAGTTACCACGTGACCCAGGCCCTTTCGGGACCCTGACCCAGGCCCTTTCGGGACCGTGACCCAGGCCCTTTTGGAACTCATACCTAGGCCACGTGACCCAGGCCCTTTCGGGACCCTGACCCAGGCCCTTTCGGGACCCTGACCCAGGCCCTTTCGGGACCGTGACCAAGGCCCTTTTGGAACTCATACCTAGGCCACGTGACCCAGTTACCACGTGACCCAGGCCCTTTCGGGACCCTGACCCAGGCCCTTTTGGAACTCATACCTAGGCCACGTGACCCAGTTACCACGTGACCCAGGCCCTTTCGGGACCCTGACCCAGGCCCTTTTGGAACTCATGCCTAGGCCACGTGACCCGGTTACCACGTTACCCAGGCCTTTTCGGGACCGTGACCCAGGCCCTTTCGGGACCGTTACCCAGGCCCTTTCGGGACCGTGACCCAGGCCGTTATGGAACCCTCGTCGTTACCGTACTTCGATTATAGTGTATCAGTTATCATTCGTAACTTCACCACATCATCTGATTACTCTATATCACATCACAACGTCATGGACCGTTTCCTAAAGAAACGAACAACGTCATGGACCGTTTCCTAAAGAGACGAACAGCTACAGACAGTGACCCATCATCAAGCTCACCACACAAGAAACAGAAGATACCTGCATGGGATCTGATCGACGTCTTCAAATAACTGTCTCCTGATCTCTACCAGATCAAGTCACTGTTCTCAGATAACTGAATCTCAATATTAGGTTCAATCATGGTCTTAGTAAAGAACTACACCCTCAGTAACACATAAACAGACCTATTTTTGATAAGAGCGGCGGTTATACGTTTAGAATTTCCAAAGTCCTTGAGAAAATGCAAAAGAAAACCGCACAATTCCCGCACAAATTTCGAAAAAATCGCCGCACAATTGGTAAAAATTTACCGCACCTTACCGCACATTTAACCTTTATAGTCGGGTGCGGTACCGCATAATTTCGATTTTTTTTACCGCACCTAATATGTGCCTCTGTACCGTTGTGCTGTAAATAAGTTGAATTATCGTCTAAGAATTATTAGCTTCTAAGGTGACTAGTGTGACTTATTCTTTCTTAAACGAGCGATAGGACCCGTTAAAATACGCCACTGTGCTTGATCTTGCCGAAATGTTTTCACAATCTGCTAAACTTATCTGCTTTATGCTAATAATAATTGAGGAGGGGAGGGGGATGCTGTAAATTTAAGTTGCGCTCGTCATCATCTACTCTCAATTAAGGATTATTTAAAGACTAAAATTAGTCAATTTGCCTCACTAAACTGCTTCTTAAACTAATGCTATCGTTACTAATTAATATCAGTGTTATCGTTACTAATTAATATCGGTGTTATCGTTATTGATTAATTAATGGAATGATCTAATAAATAACACATTGACGTCATCAGACGGATCTGCAATATATGCGTGGGGATCTGAACGCATCGTTAACTGAAACATGGAAGAGAGAAAAGGAGATTGATATAATTCAGGAGGATTTGTTCCACACTGAGCTAGAAAATGAAAGACTTCGGAACTCCATCAAAAATTTGGCTGACACCGACATGGTGCAAAGGTTTGTTGAAATTAATATTCATACTTCTTAATATATAAGTATTATATTTAAAAAAGGCTATGTACGAATTTACCTTGATATCATAAACTGCTTGAAATTATAACTTATAAGGATTAAGGAAAAGTTTATCAAGTCACACAAGTTACATTAACCCTGAAGATTATAAACATGCGACCAATCTACCTGTTAATTAATATAACATATTGACCAGGAGATCACAGTCCAGACTACAAGAAGAACGCGAGGCTCTGTTGAAGAGACTGGTACAAGCTGAGGCTGACTCAATGACTGCTAAACGAGAACTGTCACTTCTTCACAGCAATATTCGTCAGATTAAAGCTGTTAGTACTGAAACATAACAGAATAACTTTTATTTCAGTTCTCAATCAATTAACCAGATTTCTACCTGAACCCAAGTTGTGGACCAGTTGTCGAACGCTATTTTAGTTTGGTTGAATGACGTAAATTTGAATGCATTAATGCCAAACAATATACCAGACATTTTAATACCGTTCTGCCTTTTGTTAAAAGTAAACTTTTAAACTGGAGTATATTCTTATATTGGGGCTACCGTACTGCCAGCTACTGAGTAATGTGCCTAGGGCCTAGGCTTTTAATTGTGATACTTAAGATTAATCCTGCATCTTAATTGAGAGTTAAATGCTCGTGCCCCGCGGTAAATGCTTGATCCCCATTGTCCGCACATTATGCAGCCTAACTTAGGGGTAACTATTACCGTGTACAGTGTACATCCCGGTACCTTGGTTAGTTACAATTCACAACTACAATGCAATATGTAGCCCACTTACATTCTTGTAACCTGTTTAGTGATTACTGATATGTACATTCTAATATCCAGGAGAAAGATATTTGCCGAGAAGATACCGATAAGTTGGCCAGTCAGCGCGAAGTATTACTTATTAAGTGTGCCGAGGCTGAGGACAATAACCGGGCACTTAGATCCGAGCTCAGGGAAAATCAACTTAAACTGGTATGTTATTCAATGTTTTTCTTGCTTTTGAGACCAAATTAATTATCAGTCTTTTTGATTATATTTATGAGTCAAAAAGTCACAATTTTTCAGCATATTAATTATTATATACAATTTCTCTCACACAAATTATCTAACTTTTAGGGTCTAATAGCCCTTTCTTTCTGAGAACTACTTTTGAGTTTTGACGTTCATGTCCAAAATTTCTAACTTTGCGACTTACAACTTTACCAATTTACGTTTAATATCATTTACCATATTACAGCAAGACACGGGTAAACTAAAGGAACAGCACGAGAAAGTTCTAGATCGCCTCACTCAATCGGACGCAGCCAACACAGACCTGAGATCCTCGCTGCTTGACATGGACAAACAGATATCCCAGTTATCACGCCAAGTAGCAGCCGAGAAAGAAGAGGCGGAAGCCTACAAACATCTCCAGAAAACTAGCGAGATGTCGCGCTCACGCGCAGAGGAGCAGCTCCAGACCAGCATGGGGGTGAATACTCGTCTGGAGAGGAAGATAGGGGCTTTAGAAGGGGATATCGAGTTGGAGAAGAAGGAACACGTGCATTTAAAGGGACTATATGCGGGGTACAAAGAGAAAGCGCATGCGGAAAAAGAGGCATTGAGGGAGAAGGTTCGTGCTTACCGGGAAAGGGCTCTGCGAAGTGAAGAAGCGCTTGAATCTGTATCAGCTCAACTTGAGACCAAGGTTTGTTCTTATTTCCTTTTTAAACCAAATATCAGCATGTTATTTGCTTCCAATAAGATGAAAAGATGATAAAACCACTGAAGCATTGCCGAATTAAAAGTTATGACTCGAATTTGATGTTTTGATGGCAAAGTGATAAAGCATGCCAAATTGAATAAGGGATTATCGCACTTAATTACAAAACTCTGATCGCCATGATTCGATTGACTAACATTTCAGATGGTTTAAAATACAATGACCTACTGTATACCTACTGTATCATCACTGTATCATCACAGAAATATATAAACAGGCCTAATTACAAATACTAATTGTTTTCAGAGGAACCAAATAAAAGATCAAGAAGCAAAAGAAGAAGCCTTAATAAAACGAGTGGATAATCTTACAGTCGATGAAGTAGAAATGGGAGAGGCTATTGATACTCTGAAGAGGCTTGTATATATTTAATATTTATTTGTGAACATTTACAAGTTAGAACTTTTTAACACTGTTATGAATATATTGATTCAGTAGCACTGATAATTAAGTTTCAAGATGCTACCTGTAAAATGTTATCATAAATAAAACTGCTTGTGATTATTGACGAGGGCAAAAAAACTTGACTTAAGACTTCAATTTTACATGCATTTATTTACTCAGCATAAAATATTTTGTGCTGATGATATTTTATCGCAGGAAGCTCTTTTTGGCAGAAGAACAAGCAGCTGAAATGGAAGATGAATTGAAAGTAAGTGCATTACCGGTTACTTTCTGCATACTTGAAAAGTTGTCTGTAATTAAATAAGCCCGCTGCAAGCGCTGCAGGTAACGGTTGAATTGGGACATGTCCGCAAAAACTTTTAACGACTAGCGGAATTTGTTTATTATTGTGTATAAAGTTGAATTGTCAGCTTTCAGTGTAACACAGAATGCTGGCGCGCGTGGCCCGCGCTTTTATCTTGAAAAACATTTCATTTAACTGGCAACGCAGTTTGGTCAGTCTAAGCTCATGTCGCATGTTTCTGATCATTATTCAACTTGTTTTGTGTTTCAGACGGAGAAATCAAAGTTGAAGGCTACAAAGAGCAGCTCGGATAAGGAAGTAGCCAGGCTAACGGCCAAATGTAAACAACTGAAGGTAGGTGTTTCTAACCAGCCTGTGAGTCTGCCTGTATTTTGTGAAGTGTAATATTTAACCAGTTGGAATGTGATTGGAATGAGGAAAGAGCTGGTTTGAAAGTGTTAGTGTGTGGTCAGAAGTGAGCAAAAAAAAGTGATACAAAATCACAAAATAAAAACAGATAATAATGATCAAATTCGGTGCGCTGGCAGCATTTTTACTAAGATTTTATAAATCTTCGAAGCTATAGTAAAGGTATAAAAACCAATATTAAATTTACCAGCCACTTTACTACTTTGCTGTACCGAAACTTGTTGACTGATGAACCTAATTTCGTTAGCGCGTTATAATTTATACACAATAACAAGCTAGCCATTCTGTAGTTCTGTTACTTGAGAAACATCATAGGTAGGCTTATATCAATGTATATAATATGTATATGAACGCTGTAGTTTCTATATTTCTATATTTGTTTCTATATTCTAATTAATGTGCGCTTCTTATGATTCCACCGTACTGGACACCCTTTTCAGAAAGTAGCGTCGTACTGCCCTCCGACTTAATGTCTCCATTCCTATGCCCGTTTAAGATAGATAATTGAATAGCTTGAATTAGGAACATTCAGGGCTGCGTTGTCGGTATTAGCCTACAACATAGAACTTTGGGTTGGTCACATAGTATTTAATTTATAATTTGAGCTATTCAATGTCTATTATTAGAGAAAATTTATATTTTAAATTTAATAACTAGTACGACTCTTTAAGTGAGTACACACATCGTACGCAGCTTCAACTCTATTTGCGAGGCACTTTGAGTACCGCATTTCACTTTAAATCTCCTGTATGTATTTGGCAACAACTTGTCTGGAGCCAATAATATTAACTCTAACTAAACCGTTCAAAAATACAGACAATGAATGATTTGTGTCATGTGAAGTGCACTGTAAGATAGATGTTTATTTTCTTCTTGCTCTCTATTGTAGTATCGTAATGCGTGAAACTCTGACAGAACTACAGTTTTTCTGATCATAAAAATTTGCTTGGAGCCTGCTAGTCTGCTTATAGCCTTTCCAGAGCCAACTATTCGGCATACACGACCTCAAACATTGAAAGGCATCAGGGTAGCGTTATCTTTGACAATCTTGTTAAATAGTTCCGGTCCTTTTACCTACCTTACTCGGGATTATTATAACCGGGATAAAGTGGTGGGTTTTGGAAGATTCCGCCATATTTTTCCCGGTCAAAAATTTTACCAGTCATAAAAAAACCCGCCGACTCAGATTATGGGGTTCCAAGGGGGTGGTGATTATTATATTTTACCTGAAGTCTCATATGTGCTAGAGAAGACTTTTGAAGCAGTGGATGGAGGGCTGTAACTTTATTGGCGGTTGCTACCATAATTTCGTTATAAAAATCACAATTTGGTTATAGAAATCAGATTTCAGGGTGGACCGTGATTCTCACTTTTCTTGCCCATGAAGTGAGTAAACTGTGCCACTATTTCATGGTCCACGGTGGATTGATTACTGGAGCAGTTGAAGATGCAAAGCCAAGACGTTCCCCAATACCAAGCGGTGGGCAGGAAATTAAGCTCCGGTGAGTCCGGCTGACCTTCAGAGCAGTAGCCCCATTAGCGGACAAAATGAAAGTCTTGTTAAGACCACAATACAACTTCGAATTTGACGGTCAGCAGCAGGGGGATATCAATAATGATAATGGAGGGGACATTAGCGATAATGAGAATGAGAATACGCTTTAATGAAGATTTGACTTATTATTGCTATAGATTTATTTTCCTTTAAATACTAGACGTGTCTTTTTTTCTATTTCTGAGTAATATCAGTAACTGTAAATTGAAATAACTTCTTTAACAAGTAACAAAAACAGAAATTTCGGTTGAAAATTTGTTGACCTCTGAAAAAAAACTTGAAAGGTCGGCCACCGGTAAATACATGACCGGGATAATTTGGCGGGTTTTGGGAAATTCCGCCATATTTTTCCCGGTTATTAATTTTCCCAGTCATAAATTAACCCGCTATAATATTCCCGAGTAAGGTACTTCGATATGTCTATTTGGACAGATTATATAAACTATAAAACCTGCAGTCATCTCTACCTGATAGCATCAAATGACCTGTCACTGTTGTCGTCCACGAAGTGAAGATGGTAGACCTTGTCACATTTCTAATGGTTTCTGTGTCACGTGGTTCTACTAAGGGTCATGTGATGTTGCTCTTTGCTACGTTGTTTCGTGCCAATCGTAGATTGTGTGATCAGCGTGATTTTCTGGCGGATAGTTTAATATCACTGCATGTTAACTCAGTAAAACCATGGTTGAGGCTATGGCGGGGGGGGGGGGGGGGGGGGGGGGTTGCTTGAGGTTAGCTTTTAAGTGCCTCAATAAATGTAACAGATTTGAAGTGTTGTAATTAGTTTAATATTATGTTATTTGTTTGTAACAAACTTGTTACTATGGTTTTAATTTTAAAGTTCAATCTGTAGTTATGCTATTCTCGAATATGTGTCGGTTAATGTTACTCGAATGACCTCGAATGAAATCGAAATTATGATAACTGACAAAATTATGGTGAGGAGGTGATTCATAACTCACGCAGTCTTTACATGATGTTTGGAGCATCCTATGATTTGTGAGTCATCTTTATGTATTCAATATGTTCCAAATATTCAGATGCGTGACATAAGTTAAATTTAGTTTACGAATCACGAGATTCTTGCTACAGTTTGAGTTGTATTAATTATTTTGTTGGGACGTAGTATATATATATATAGAGAACAAGGATAACACAATTACTACATAAGCTTTACAGATGGTATCATGGGTATCGTGAGCTGATATAATTGTATCACACTTAAAACACAGAAACAATAATTTACTGCAATTGCCAATTATCACGAGCATAATTGCATATAATTACTAATTAGTGAATGTTTGTTGGTAAATTTACTGCAGCGTCTGTCGAGCGGAATAATTTAGAAGCTAGCTTCCTTTGTCACTACGTTATTCCCAATTACAATCAGACGTCTTTTTAAATTAGTATAGCTATCAGTATAGTGATCGTCATAATTTAACCAGGGTATTAGCCGTAAGGGTGGATTCCTTAAATCTTTGGCTTAGTAGTTAATAGTTCTATTAATACTGCTTACTTGCTGAGTACTTTACTTAGTAAATGATGGGATCAGTAAATAGTAAATACTGCATAGTACTTTATTGGCGTATTAGTAAATATATTATGTTGGTTTTAGTAATGCTTCACGACCGGCGTAACTTGATAAAACTCATAAAGATAGTCCCTGTAATTTATTATTGCCCGTTTATCTAAAATATCTATTCGTTGATTATTTTTCTGTCCTCACGATTGTCTTGTTTATTGTTTAATCATTTACTTTTATATTTCCGGCTTTTCACGACCAACTTTTCGATGAACTCAGTGTAAAAATTAGCTATTGTCTGCAATACTGATGAGCTCAACATGTTCTGCATGTGATTTGTAAGTAAAATTGTTACAGAAGAACAGTGGGATAAAATTAATATTTAAATATTGTGGGAGTTAGTATACTACTATTATCTTTAGAAGTTGGGAATCACGACCCTCTCAGTTTTCTGAATGCTAAGATTTCTTGTGAAATTGTATTTCTTGAGTATCCTCTGTTTTGAGTTTTGACTGACACTGTTCTATCTTTTTAGGTCCACTCATGACAGTCAACTCACGACAGAACAGCGACGATATTGTAAACTGGGACAATGCGGAGTAGCCATTTCCCATAACTTCCGTCCACCTTCTAGATACAAATCGTTAATTGCAATTTATTTTGACTACACTAAATTGTTGAATGTTATTGTAGGTCCACTGTTCATGTACTTCCAATTTGAAACAGAACATATCGTTACCATTAGTAACCTGCTTATAACTAGAAAGAACCTGCCCCTCATTCTTGATTTTAATCTCAAGTTAATCGAAACAGTTTCCTTCCCAGAAATTTGTCTACCAGTTTCATATAATCAACGCCTTGCAAACAATTTAAAGTCGCTCAATCTTTAAAAACCGAGTAAATTCTCACCCATTACTCCCCTGATAATTGCTCAGATCACTACAGTCGCGACTAGTCACATTCCACAGCTGTAAGATTTAACATTCCACAGCTGTAAACTTCTATTGTAACAGCACCTATGAAATGTTATCGTTATAGCCACCCATAAACCACTAAAGCCACCCTAGGTTACTCCTCGAGTTACCAGTTTAAACACCTGTTGCCAACTACATTTTTCTGGAACTCTCTGCTCATTGTGCTACTACACCTGCCCGTGAGTTTTAAAGTCTCTATACCTCGTTTAGTTTGTCTTTCACCGACTAGTTTCTGTGTTAGATGTCTGTCCAGATCTGTTAATCCGAAACCAAATCAAAACCACTTTAACAATTTTGAACCATGTTACTTATTTATTTGAGGCATCTAGTAGATTGTGAAGGCTATGCCATCTCATGCTGCATACTGCAATTATCCTTCACCCAATGCCCTGGTATTTTATTTTTTCACAAATCCATTTAGCTTCACCTTTACTTTCACAGCAAATATATACACAGTGAAAACAATGTACAATAGCTATCAGTACCCTGCTAATAAAATCAAGACTGTCTCTACACACACGGCCGACGTACTGAGCCAACTCAGCACAGCTAGATCGCCGGAAAACGGACAGTTTGCCACATGACACACACTCCAACGTGTTGTTGGACGACTGAAAACACGTGGTGACCACGTGACCAGACCACGTGACCGTTGAGTGGTTGTATTTTCACTAGACTTGTGAAGCACTTTTGCTAATTTGACAGCTACCCTATATTGCACGTGCGATCTCATTCTCCTTGTTCTGCAGTCTTACTTTCCCAATTTGAGGGTGGTTTTTACTCATAAATCTTAATAAACAGCCCACAATTTTACTGAGTAATATTCTAATATCATCATATATATTAGAATCATCACGTGATTAGTTTTATCTCT